AATCAAAACGACACAACAAATGACCGATATAGAAAGAAAAAAAAAAAAAAAAAAAAAAAAAGAAAAAAAAAAACAAAAAAAAAAAAAGCAAAAAAAAAAAAAAAAAAAAAACAAAAAAAAAAAAAAAAAACAAATAACCTCACTCCCTCCCTCCCTCCCTCCCTCCCTCCCTCCCTCCCTCCCTCCCTCCCTCCCTCCCTCCCTCCCTCCCTCCCTCCCTCCCTTCCCTGACTCACCCTTCCTCTACGTTCAGTGTCGTCAATCTCCTCTGCATCGAGAGCATCGCCAGTGCATTGGATCCCAACTACAACCTTTTGGACGAGTCCGAGATGCTCTTGTGTAAGTCTTGGCTCAACTTCCCTCCCTCAATCTCACCAGCTCTACAGACGCGCACTCTATCCTTGGCAAGGAGAGCATGGCCATGATCTTGGCTCTGACGGTATCCTCCAAGCCTCCTCGAGTTGTGATAAATCTTGAGTTCGCAGGCTCCTTCTATTACGTGGTATCGATCCGCGATCTACTTGCACAAGCAGGTGATCGGTGTTGCTGATTGGTTCGAACTGCTTCTGACTGCTTCTCAAGATGGAAGAAACTTGGCAGAAAGTGCGGAGGACGATATTCCCTGCTGTCTTGCTCTGATAATCGAATGGTGTACTATGATACTAGTGAACTTGAAGCCTCAGTGTGACTGGGGCCGTGTCCGACGGTCACCCGATCGCTCCCGATGATGCCAATGCCGGCCGGGCTGAGTCAGGCCAGACATTTTCCGGCGCCGGGGTTGAGAGACTACTATAAGGATAGCGGCGTAATGAATGGCGGGCCCCGGGGCGGCGATGAGGAGCCGGCCCAGTACTTATCATCATACGGTACACTGAACTAGGCTTCGGCCCGGGCCGGGTCCGGTTGCTGCCCCAGCAGAGGAAGGTAATGCAGCTAGAAAGAAAGTTAATTAGATCATGCTGCCCTCCCACGATACACCCCTACCCCCTCATAGCCTGTGTAGTACCCACCCAAAGATAAGCCTCCGATCTCGTGGCCACCTCTGTAGAGCTTTTTTCAAAGTTTGGGGGGTGGGGTGATGCAAGAGGGGGTGAGGGTGAGGCTATAGTAGTAATAAGTCGGGAGGGGTTATATTGAAAAGCATAGATATTGTGGGTGGGGTCATATATACTTTTGATTTGGTAGGTGGTGATGCTTTTAGATTGTATGGTGGGTCATTCACGATAAGATGAAGGGGTGGGACTGCTGGGGAATGCAGGGTAGGTGGTTAGGTAGGGGTACACGTCGGGGAATAAACGGGTGGGGGTAGGGGCGGTGGTGAGTTGGTGGGGATAGCTATCAGGATGGCGATATGGAGGGGAAGAGTGGAAGGCGATAGGAGAGAAGGAGCGACGATGGGAGGAGGAGAATGCAGAAGGAAGAATGGCAGAGAGTTAGGAAGTTTTGTGCTGGAGAAAACAATGAAGGACAAGAGCAAGGACGAGAAGAGGAGGGAACGACCTTCTCCGGAGGGAGGATACCCGGAAAAATTGGATTCAGGCAAAGATGGAGGAGGGGGTGCGGCTGTGGAAGAGTTGGTTAGAGGACGTGATTAAAAGAGTGGAGAAGATAGGATGATGAAGTATTGCGACTAGTTTCAAGAGTATCATTGTGATCATGTGGTGGAGACGGGAGAAGGATAAAAGTAAACTTGTTGAGCCTATGATGTCTGCGAGAAAGAAATGACGACAACTAATGGTGTGAAGAAAAAGGAATATGAAAGAATTCATGGAAATTTCACATCCAGCAAGGTTGATTGGTGATGTTTTCTCAACATGTGCCATTTGAGATAGCCTCTGGTTTAACTACGTCTCCGACTCTTCAAGAGTCTCCAAGATGTGTTTAGCGAGATCTCTACTAACATGGAGGATTTCAATCTCATGAGATAGAGTTGATGGCATACAGAGAGGGCTAGAGTCCAAGTAGAAGCAAAACTGCTGTTCCCTTGTTTGCAATCCTGGTGATATCCAGTGATGAATTCTGAGAAGTTAGATTGGTGTGCAGAGACTTGATGTGGGGGTCATTGCATTTTGTTTCCTTTACATGTCATGATCTGAGTAGGTTGTTTGATTTGCCCAGGAGGAGAGGTTTACGTTGTGCTCATCCATTTCCGCAACTCCATGTCGATGGAGGCAACGGATTTGGACCCTCAAGCTATGCAAATAGCAAGCTTGAGGGAAGTTGCCAAGCAACTTGAGGAAGAGTTGAAAGAAAGGAAGAATCATTCCAAGCTTTCAAGAAGAAGACCAAGGTCCTGCTTGTCGTGGCCTCATGCATTGAGATTTTTGATGTTGTAGTGTAGGCTTATGTTGAGTCGAAGTTGAAGAGTCAAGAAGAAGCTCTTGCAACTGAACGCAAGAATGCGGAGGATGCGTTGAAAGAAGTCGAGAGGTTGAATGGTCTACTCAGTCAAGGTATAACGTTTCTTCCTTGAGTGATCTGGGGTTCAAACTTTGAGCATATCCTGAAGAGCTTGGTTCAGGGGTGGCGACGATGAATTAAAAGCACAGCTCCAAGAGGTATACACTGCATCATTTTGTTCCTGCTTGCGACTTGCAGATTGTCGAGAATGAGCCTAATCGATTGATTTGCTGCCTTCAGGTCAAAGATGCTTTGGCAAAGAAGGAACAGGAGCTTGAAAAAGTGAAAGATGATTCAAGGCAAGAATCCTTTTGGATGCAGTAGGGTCATGACATCGAATTGCCAGGCAATTCCTTAAGAAGGCAGTGGAGAAGAAGAAGGAAGCAGAACAAAGAGTGAGTGATGCACAAGAGGTTGAAGGACCTTGTAAAGATCCATCGCAGGTTCTTGAGTTGGAGCAGAACTCTGGAAAAACTGGTCCGAACGATGCGAAAGTTTTGATTGTGTTGAAGAAAAGGCTCGAAGATGACTTTGCAAATCATTCATGCAATGACAATGAGCTTATCAATGCCGAGCGAAAGAGAATCATGGAGCTGATCGATCAAATGGCTAATGATTTCCCATCGGCATCATATGATGATTTGCTAGCAGAAGAGCTCAAAAAGGAGAAAGCTGCCGCGGAAGAGGCAGTCAATAACATCAAGGAGAAATCAAAAGAGGTCCTACGCAAGTTGAAAGCAGGTCATGATACAAAAGTTGCTGAGTTGCAAGAACAATTGGAATATGCAAAGCAAGAATCGTCTGCTTTGAAAGAGAAATTTGCTGAATTGGAGGAGAGCAACAGCAAGTTGCTTTCTTCGTCTCAATCTGCGACTTCAAGTGAAGAAATTGAGCAAATGAAGCTTCGATTGTCAGCCTTACAAGAGGAACTTGACAGCGAAAGGAACAGAAGCGAGAGGCGTTTGAACAGCTTGAGAAGAATTCAGACGTACACAGCACTGAAATGATGGAACTTCAATCCAAGCTGGGCAGCCAGATTCAGGGTCTGATGGATGAAGTTAAGGAGCTCAGGGAGAAGGAGAATGAAATGAGCAACGCTAGCCAGTTGGAAGTTTCTTCTGCAGCAGCTGAGATGAAAGAAAAGCTCTTACAACTTGAAAGAGAATTGGATGAAGCGCAGACGGGCAAAATTGCAGCTGAGACATCGTTGGAAAATATCCGCACGAAGAGCAAGGAAATGCTGAAGAAGTTCAAAGAACAATCAGATTCGCAAAGCGAGCAACTGCGACGTACAATCGAGGATCTTGAAGCACAGAGGGACGCTTTGCAATCGAAACTTGGAGAGAGTGAAGAATGCTTTTCAAAGCAGGCTGATATCATCAGCCTTCTTGAGAGGCATATCGATGAAATAGAAGCCTTCATCGGAAAGGCTGGGATCAGCTATGAGCAAACTATTGTGCAGAACCATGCCATAGCTGAGGAAATGGCCTCCACGATCTGCCTTTCGAATACGAGCGCAGAAACCTTTGAGTCCCTTCTGTTTGAGATCAACCACAGAAGCCAGGACCTTCAGTCGAAGATTGTGAATGATCACACGAGCGCTCAGGACTTAACCCTGCTGCAGGAAGAGAATTCTGTATTCAAGAGGCGGATCGAATCGCTCGAGCTCGACATCAGTGATCTCAATGATGAAATCGCTGAGATGCGCAAATCACACAATTCCTTGCCCACTAATGGAGAATGTGGTGGAAGTGAACCGGTCTGCAAACTTCAAGTCATTGAAGAAGTTGATGAATCCACTGAAAACTGGGCAGACAAGTCGTACACAGAAGAGAATTACTTGGTTGAGATCTGCCATACTGTGCTGAAGCACGAGCTCAAGAAACTTTGCTCGGATAATGAATCCCCAAGCTTAGCAAGTGGAAGAGATTCGTCAGATGAAATGTCTGCACTTTATGCAAAGCTTCAGAACATGGGGATTAACTTGATCTTGGAAAAGACAAAGGAAATGAATGGAGAACAATCGATTAAACAGGGGGAGAACGAAGGCAAGTCAAAACAGGAAGCCTCTGAAAGTGGAAGTGAATCTCGCTTTGAAGAAAACGAAGTTTCAAAGGGTGATGGGAAAGACCGGTATACATCGAAACAGCAGATCGAGCCAAAGATGGTAGCAACCAAGCTTTCCCATACTGAAGATGCAGCTGAAAATGAACCAATCCAACAGGCTGACCAAAACACTGGAGTCCAGGAGTCCAACTCGGAATCAACGAATGTGAAGGATATCCAATATACAACTCAGCAACAATCCCACGAAAACCTAATACAAACTAACGACGACTTACGTAGCAAGGTCGAGGGGCTGGAGAGGGAGGTACAGGAGCTGCAGCAGAGCAAGGAGGAGGCAGCCGGGGAGGCGGCGGAGAAGATCAAGGCTCTAGAGGAGGAGGTGGAGAGGCTGCGGGAGGAGGGCGGGCAGTCGGCAGGGCAGGCGGAGGCTCTGGAGCAGGCGTCGCAGCAGGCGGAGGAGCTACGGAGGCAGGTCGAGGGGCTGGAGAGGGAGGTACAGGAGCTGCAGCAGAGCAAGGAGGAGGCAGCCGGGGAGGCGGCGGAGAAGATCAAGGCTCTAGAGGAGGAGGTGGAGAGGCTGCGGGAGGAGGGCGGGCAGTCGGCGGGGCAGGCGGAGGCTCTGGAGCAGGCGTCGCAGCAGGCGGAGGAGCTACGGAGGCAGGTCGAGGGGCTGGAGAGGGAGGCGGAGGAGCTTCGAGAGTACAAGCGCTTGAAGGAGGAGGGAGGACGAGACGAGGATGGCTGGGGCACAGACTCGGCAGATCCGGCGGAGGAGCTACGGAGGCAGATCGAGGGGCTGGAGAGGGAGGTACAGGAGCTACGGGAAGGGAAAGAGCAGGCGGAGGCTGCGCTTGGGGAGACGCGGACGAAGAGCAGGGACATGCTACGACAGATGAAAGCGCAGTATGCGGAGAAGATGTCGGGGCTAGAGAAGGAGGCGGAGGAGCTTCGAGAGTACAAGCGCTTGAAGGAGGAGGGAGGACGAGACGAGGATGGCTGGGGCACAGACTCGGCAGATCCGGCGGAGGAGCTACGGAAGCAGGTCGAGGGGCTGGAGAGGGAGGTACAGGAGCTACGGGAAGGGAAAGAGCAGGCGGAGGCTGCGCTTGGGGAGACGCGGACGAAGAGCAGGGACATGCTACGACAGATGAAAGCGCAGTATGCGGAGAAGATGTCGGGGCTAGAGAAGGAGGCGGAGGAGCTTCGAGAGTACAAGCGCTTGAAGGAGGAGGGAGTTGTGGAGGCTGGGGAGGGAACGGAGTACATGGAGATGTCGAA